CTTTCCTGTCACCACAGTGGCTCCTTATGGTTGGATTTTTTCTTTTTTCATTCTTCCAGCCTACTTCTTGGCTCTGTACAATTCTGGAGGAATATCGGGAAAAATTCTATTCTTGGATTCTTTAGCTGTTTTCTTGGGATATTCATTCTTATATTATTCTACGGTGTCAGGGGCAGCTCATACTGTGACCCAGCAGTCTTTCAGTGTTCCCATATTTGCATGATTTACGAAGAAGTCTGGTCACTGCCTTCCTGCTCTGAACTCTGGAAATTGCTGACCCAGGTTTAAATCTGAACAAGATTTCCCTTCTCTTGTCCTTGATTGAGTTTTATTTGATTTCTCCTAGACCCAACCACTATTAGCCTAATGGAAAGCCCTGCAGGTTCACAGAGACCAAAATGCAGACTGCTCCCTGTTGTTCTTATTTCATTGCAGACTTTGGCCTGCAGCACAATACTGAATCTGGGCTCTACTTCTGGTATCATGGCCATATAACTGCTGTGAACTTGCTCCTCTTTCAGTACAAAGCAAAGACCTGTGACTGAGACCGTGACTACTCTTCTCCACCACCCCCAGGTCTAGGTCTCCTTCTCAGGTCAGTGACCTGGGAACTGGGTGATGAGCTACAGAGATACCACACAGCCATTGTTCCTGAATAATGCTCAGGGACACCTGTGATGTATTCCTGTCCTGATGCTTTCTGCCCTGTGTGTAGTCCTGATTTTCTTTCATTTCTTAGGTACTAGAGCTCCTGGCCAGACCCCTTCCCCAGTCTCTGGGGACCTCTCTGTCAGACTCTTTCTATCAAACTAGGCTGGAAAAAATAACTCACTGTGACTTTTTCCTTCTATTTCCCAATCACCATTTGGTATGGTGTCACTTTAAGGTCTTTGTAGAGGAAGCATGATTGAGGCCCTGGGCTGTAATTCTTCCTGCTACTCTGCCATATTGACTTTCTCAAGGCTCTTACTTTCTTAAAATCTTAAACTGAAAATATCTTTGCATAATTGAGGTGAATATGAAATTAGCTGAAATAGAAAGGGGTCCTTAGCAACTTGGTGGCAATTCTGACTTCCTGTATGAAGATGAGAGAAACTTCTTGCCTGAGCCTCATAGCCTCCATGGAAGACAGGGGTAGCCCTTCAGCAGATGTGTCCAAATGGGCAGAGATTTATTATCATTCCCAGGAAGAAAGTGGGAACACTATGTGGATGACAGTGCAAGGAAAGGCTTGGCACCTTGGTATGCTTTAAGCAAAGAGATAATAATCTCTTATTATAGATGCCCCTGACCTCTGATGATTGGTGACTGTGATGAGAGTGTGATCACCTGCAGTGGGGCCCAAGTACTCCTGGTACTTTTTCTGTTCATCGGCTACATTTTCCATCAGGAGATCCACTGTAAACTAGGGTCTGTAGGAGGGGAAAGGAGAATAAGCTTTTATATAGCACCTACTACCGTGCAAAACACTTTACAAATATTATTTCATTTGATTCTCACAAAAATCCTGGGAGGTAAATGCTGTTATTATCCTCATTGGAAAAAGAGGAAACTTAGATAAACGGAGGTTAAGTGACTTGCCCAGGGTCACATAGCTCGTAAATATCTGACGCTGGATTTGATTTTAAATAAAGTCATCTGGACTCTAGGCCCAGCATTCTATCTACTATCACCTGTCAGCCTCTGAAATATAAAGATTTAACATCTTCTACCGCTTGTGCTAGATTATTTAGATCAGAGATTCAGTTATAGTAAAGTGAGGAGACAAAACCTTATTTTCTGGTCTTGGTTTTCCTCTATATATAGTTAACAAGGACAACAACAACAACGCTAACAACTAGCATTTATAAAGCACTTTGTATATGTTGACTCATTTGATTCTTCAGTCACTCCTTCAGGGTACAGTTACAGCAAATAATTCTTTTCTTTTCTTTTTCTTCCTTCCTTCCTTCCTTCCTTCCTTCCTTCCTTCCTTCCTTC